TAGCGGCGAATAACCTTCGGTACTCATCGTCTGGATTGCTCCGAACACTTTGAAAACCAGACGACTGCTAATATTTAATGTTAATTTTGAGATATAAATCGCAGACGTTACACTCTCCTTTATTCTAAGAATAATAGATAATTAAAACTTCCTTTTATTATCATTGCGTTGGTTGAAACAACATTTTTATGCTTGAACATCATTCGATTGTAGGAACACGTTTTTTGAGAGTGTTATATATGATATTATGTAAAATATTCCAAATTTTTTTCAAGGTAAATGAATTCTTGAGGACTCATCTTAAATTGCTTTTAGTTTATCTCGTTAACAATGCGAGAAACAGATTTGCTCAAGTGCGGAGAGTAATGATTAGATTTGAGTGTTACAAAATAGATACATAATATTTTGAAATATGAAATTTTATCAATGAATAAAAACGAAATAAAAAAGCAATAATAATAAAAACTAATGATTTCACTAAATAAAAGCCCAATCGTAACTTCCACTACGACTAAATCATCAATACATTCAACTTTAGTAGTACTGTAGCACTTCTATGTAGACATTATGTACAATGTCTGGCGTACAAACCCTTGGGACAGGTATCTTTATTTAAAGTTTTATTAGGATTTTTTTTTTATCTAACTTATCTGTACAAGAAATATATATTAAGGGAGAATACTGCGATCCAGAAAAAAATGGAATATCAGTTTTCAATGGAAATTCAATTCCTGATTCCAAATAACCAATTTTCGTTAAATTGTTTGTATATTTTTGAAAAAACAGGCTTGTTCAAAAACTAAAAGCCGTAAATAAATGAAATTATGTATTTTTAAGCTGGGTATATGCCTCCCTATAACTTTCAGTTTTATTTATTTATTGAATATTAACACAATCCGTCACACTCAAAGACAATTTTCATTAGAGCTAAAAGAATCCTCTCATTCAATATATACATACAAGAAAAATAAAGGATGGTTATTAAAGAAAAAAATAATAATAGTAAAAATATAATAAATAAATAAAAAATAAAAGATTTAATAAATAAATAAAATTCTTCTAAAGCTCATTTACACCTATATATAATATTTACATTTGCCCGAGGGACTCCGAGCCAGGCTTTGTCTTCCAAGTGTGGAAGGCAAATCTTGGCTCCAGGAGGTTGCAGCGCTTCTCTTCCAGCCGTGTCATTGGACTGGAGGCCAGTGGAGATAGAGAGAGGGCACTTGAGCCACAAACACCCAGATATTGAGTGGAGAAGCTGGCTATTGCCAGAAATCTATTAGCATATTTACAAAAGGTCTCGAAGCCACTGCCGTTTCAACATTCGGGGAGGATTATAGGGAAGGTTGGAGCTAGATAGGGATTAAACTAGAGAATTGGGATAGCGAATAAGGTTCTGGTGAATTTTTTTTTAAAATCGGGATGGGATGATGTCAAGAACATATGGGATGTTAAGGTCATGGTGTAGGGTCTTGTTTGTGACACTGTACGGAGCGTTAACTATTGTCTGAAGTACTTTGGACTGGAATGATTGAATACGTTTGATATTCGAAAATTTAGTTGTCCCCCACAGTTCAAGTCCGTAGGTTTCAGTACAATCTTGTAGATTAATAGTTTGATTTCGATTGAAAGATGAGATGTCCTATTTATTAATCTGTAGAACTGGTAAATTCGTCGGTTAAGCTCTTGTCTTTTTAGTCTGGTGTGTGGGTTCCAAGTCAGTCTTTTGGAAGCCGAGATACCGGACAGTGTCTGAGGTGGGAAGTGGGAAGTAGGATAGATTAAATAGGATTGGCCGGCAGGATCTGCGTCAGAGGGTGAAGTTGATATATTTACATTTTGATTCATTAACTTTGATGCGCCAATTGTTGCTCCATCGCTCTGTCAGGGATAGGTGTCTGCAGATTGAGGGATGTATTTTCGGGATCTGTGTGGGAGGACAGGATGGCGGTATCATCTGCGAATGTTGCTAGGAAGGTATCGGGATCTGTAAGGATATCAGTGTCCTTATAACTGGAAGTGTGCATCATTAACAACTAAATATCTTTTATTATCAATAGGTCCCATGAAATCCATATGTACTTTTGTCCAGAGTTCTTCCGGCCATTTCCAAGGAACAAGTAATGACTTTTGAGGTCCTGCTTGACATCTCCTGTATGCATGTATAGCTTGTTTGATATGACTATTCATACTAGTCCACCAAAAGTAATCCCGTGCCAGTAATTTGGTCTTCACTATGACCAAATAAGATTCATGAAGACATAACAATACTTGATTAATCAATTTCTTTGGAACTACCAGCCTATGCTCATGCATCAAACAACCGTCCTCAATAGTAAAATGAACAACGACTTTTTGCAGCAAACTACATCGGGCAGAAAATATTTTCTAGTCTAATTATGTAGAGCGTTAAAGTACAGATAAAATAAATTAAAAAAATTAATACAACTTACTTTTATGATGCATATATCTTCCTTACTTTAAAATATTGGTGACCTTTATTGAAGAAGTTATTTTACTTACTTTTAATGCCAAGTATAGTATGGTAAACGTCCGAGGGGTAGACCGAAGCGAAGGTGGGAAGATTGCATTAAAGCCGATCTGAAGGGACTGGGTTTGGACGGTGGAGGGAGGTGTGTAATAAGCGATTGGTGGTGTCAGTATCGAAACTTCGGGTTCGCTAAGTCTGTCATTATTATTATTATTTAATGCTAAGTATTTTTTCTTCAGCCGTGGATCGACTCTGAGGTCAGGAGACTCTTCTGGGACACACCCCACTACTATAAAGTGGATACTATTAATTCATCATTATCATAATCCATCCTCTTGAACCGCATTAAGCAGTGTGAGGCTCAAATTGAAGTTTATAGAGCCTTCTCCAGCTCTGCCGGTCTTCCACAAGACACCTATCATTCCATTGAGGTCCACAGTACACCATGCACACTCACCAGAACAGTACACTAATCACCTACACTCAACATAAGGTCAGCTACAGTACATACCCTTGGGTAGGGCTTCCTTTCATGGGAGATTTTTCCTATCAGAAAGGGTTACACTAAGGAGCAGCCCCCCGACCGCACTAGATTGGACAGGCCGATACTCTGCCCTTCCGAAATCTTGAATATCACAAGTAATGGAAGGGATACTATTGATTAAATAATTAATTAAGTGGGAAAATCTGGCAGTTGAGTGTAATCCTGATCCAATCATTTCATTGCATTACCGTTGATCTTGTAAAAGTAGTTCCTAACAAAGTACTGAACCCAAAACTCTTCATGGGTTGTAATAGTATATGTTTTTTTATTTATTTTTTTTGAGAAGTGGAGGAGAGGAAAGGGCTGGGAGATTTGAAGGGAAAGTTAGTCTCCTGGAAAAATCCTGGTTCCGGTCCCGCAGTGACAGAGCATTCTGGTTCTTCAATCCAGAGATTAGACAATTAATGCATCAATAACAATTATTTTTTTCCTCAAGTAAGGAAAGTTTCATCGAGTGCTAATGTATTACGAAACAGGAAACAAACCCATTTGGGAAATTGTAAATTTTCTTAATCCTAGAATTCGATTAGCAAACACTATAGTTGTAAAATACCAAGAAATTTAATAGCCCCCTCCTCTTCCCGCACGTGCGCGAACATCCGACCCATCAGGTGAGCTCTATTGAGGTTATTAAAAGAGTTTCCTCCTTTATATATTCTCTATCAGCAATCGAAAACTTAAATACCATTCAACAAATATGATAGTGATAATAATGCTAAACCGTGTATGAAGCAAAACCAATATTAAAAAGGATCTTCTTGAATATTGTTGACTTGTAAATAGGTCACTTCAAATGATAAAAAAAAGTTTTCCAGTGTCACTTTGATATTTTTGTATCTGTAATAATAACTACCGATAATAGATTTCATTAAATAGTAAATGTTTATATATGTTTTAGAATATTATTAATTACAGATCTAATTTTTCTATTGGGAGTATAATTGACACAAGATAAAACATTTTTAAAAAAAGTAAATAGAAATGAAAAACATTTTTAGTATTAATTGTAAATGTGTTATTTTTTTTATGTAGTTTTATCAACAAACGGTTGGTATCTATAGATCTGGAAATTCAACTTCCTTGAAACTGATGTAGTTGGGTTAACTATTCTGTTTTTTTATTATTATATGAATATTTTCTAGTTTATAATTTATAGTTAATATTTCTGGCATTACTGATGGAGATACAAGTTATGGTGAGTTTAATAAATGCATTGTAATTTACTTTATTCAATTTATGAAAGTTTTTATTTTAGACGTTTTTGTGAAGTAAATATATTTCTTATTTCCGTTTATTGGTTGTGGAAATAGTAGTGAGTTTAAGTTGTGTTAATTTTTGTTTTGGATTTTATTAAAGTTTTGACATCTTTCTCCGCTAAAAAAGATATATTAAACTGAAATTCTTATATTTTGAAATTCTTATATGGAATGAAATAATTTGAAGAGTGAAGATTGATTAGCATGAGTCTTGTACAAATTGATTTTTATTCCTTGATCTGTTTTTCATGCAATTGACAATTGTCAGAGAATTCTCTGAACAAGCCATTTATTGAAAGGTTAACATTCTTGTCATTTTTCTTCCAATTTATTTTGTTTAACTTACTTGTTATGTATTTTATACTTTGGTGCCATTTGCCACAATATAATAAATGGCATATCTTGTTGACATATCTAATACCAATAGTTATTTTAGAGATAAGTTGAGCTTTTTATACTTAAGATGATATGGTAATCTATTTGTGGATAACTGAATTTCGTTTATATATATAGTCATCAGTTTACATAAACAGTCACTCTATTGACTGATTTCTGTCAATATCAATATTTTTATTAAGCCTGTGGTTTGATTCTAAGGTTGGTTTAATTATTGTTTTTAAGTGAATAAAATTGATTTTAAAATACCACCCATTGTTGTGGAATTCATTTTCTGGAATGGCTTATCTTTACTAACCCCATAAATCATCTGGTTTACTTATTTAATTTTTATTAGACTTAATTTGCTCACTGAAAAAATCAATTTTGAAAAAAAAAATATTTTTTAGTGCAGTGTTGGGGAAGTCTGTGACAGAGACATGGCACAAAAACAACTAACAAAGGAAGAATTGATAAGAAATGCTTGCATACAATTCAAAAAGCAATTTAATGATTATCCATCACACGCTGGCTGTGCTCCTGGAAGGGTTAACATAATTGGAGAACACACTGACTATAACAATGGATTTGTCTTTCCCATGGTAACCAAACAATTTTTTTTTTTTTTTTTTAAGCTAACCTTTCTTTGTAACCCTATGGATGGGTTCATAAATCATACAGGTCCCATGTTGCAAATTGGTGTATTGCATTAAAATATTTTAGCATCTTTGTTATAAATATTAATTAATGAAAAAATATAAAAGAAAATATATATTAATACAGTGATACAAAATAAACTATTAGGAAGAAACATTACAAAAATAAAAATAAAAATATAATTAATAAACTATTAAATAAATTATAAATTGAATTAAATATAGATAGTTGTCTAAACCACCACCAGTGCTGGTTCTTACTTAAAAAATGACCCTTGTATTACTGCAGGTCAAATGAGTTGGTAAATTTAGGCCACTACTCGTTACTTTCTTAATAAATGATGTAAATTATATACATTATCTTCTTGCCTTCAATACTACTGTTTCCTTTGGTCTTTTTTATTTTAAGACCGCAAATCACTTTTCAATAAAAATATATGATTTTGATTTGAATTGTTCTTAACTGTTACCAATTTGATTCATGAGCAGAATAGAACTTTTATTTTTTTCACCTTTTATTGTTTACATTAATTTCAAATAAATATGTTTAATGTTCTCAATTTTATTTTTTGAAAAAAAAAATGTACCTATTTATTTCTTTATTTGAAAATGAGGTTATAACTACGTAACAATAATTATTAACAAGTATGCAAACAGTGACAAAGAAATCATATGTGTTAAGTGATTTGCGACAGCAAAGTAAAACAGACTCGTTGCCTTTTAATCATCAATATCATTTTTAAACTCCTGCTCATTTTTTCAAGCTTTTCTAATTTTTACTCTCTATGAATTCTATGATATATTTTCTACTGAACTGATTCAGTTTGGGTATCTTAAGTTAATAATAAGATGCTATTATTATACATACTAGCTGATGTCCCAGTCATTGACGGACGAATAGTTAAAATTTGAGAATCATTTTTTGAGATGGATTTTGTAATAGGGGGGGAGAGAATTTATGGATCTCTTTTTTACTCAAAGCCTGTTTTAAGTCAAACAAACCTAAATATAATTTAAAAATTTCAAAAGTCTACCATAAGCCATTGCTGAGTTTATCACTGAAAAAATAACCACAATAACATTGGACATTGAGTCCCCAGACATTGAGGTGAAATTTTTGAGAGTTTTTTTCCATTTGTTAGGCTTGGTAAGTTGAATCAAATGACACATTGAACGGAAAGATCGGACAAAGTTAAAAAATGGGTGTATTTTATCCATGATTTAGGGGCAACGCTTACTGTTGTTCGGGAATTTTTTTTCCTGTTGAGTTGTGATAATTTTTGGCTCGTGGTAGAGTAGGTTGGGATGAGAATCAAAGTAAGTAACTGCTTAACCGGGATCTCTAGAAAAAGTACTCAAGAATTTATAACTTTGGTTCTACTCAATATTTTGTTTTCATTTAAAGCCTATGTCTTAAGTCAAGCAAACTTAAATATAATGTCATAATTTCAAAAGTCTACCACTAGCCATTGCTGAGCTTACCGCTGACAAAATTTTGTTGGACAATTTATTTTATTTATATACATGAATAGTGTAAGAGATTTTTGATGTTTTCTGTTCCTTAGAATATATTCCCTGGCCTTTATAACTGCTCATTTCCCTATCTGATTACTATAACAATATTGCTTTTATTTAATTCCATAAATCTCAATAATTTTGACTATTTTTATTGGTAAAGAAATGTTTTTATTGTGTAGCCACATTTTCACCATTTTGATCACCCTCCTAAAAGTTTTTAAAAAGAAAAAGGTATATATTAAAACCATGATCTCATTTTGCATAATTCAATCAATTTAAATAATTTCAATTTCTATTATATGAGGTGTAGAATAACGAAACCAGCCAAATCCATTACTAAGTTTTTAACTTAAATTCTAGATACTAGATTATCATGAGGTAGAAGAATTTCTTTCAAAAAAGTAATATCATGTGATTAAAATGATTTTGAAAGGTATTCGTGAAAAAAAAAATTTTAAGTGGAGATGGCTGGTATCAGAATTTTATATCTTTATATAACTGTTTAAAAATAATTAATTTTCAATTACTTTCAGGCTTTACCTATGGTTACAGTTATGGTTGGAAAATTAAATAACTCAAATAATATAAATATATACTCAATGACAGAAGGTTTACATGAACCAAATAATGTATCATTCAAAGTTCCTAAAGAGGAGAAGTTGGCTCCTGGATCTCCAAAGTGGGCAAATTATTGTAAAGGCGTTATTGCACATTTCAAAGGTTAGAATCAAGTTATTGTTTCTCTTTTATAAAATATGATCTCCTTTGTTTTATTTATTTTTTCTTAAACCACTGATTATGTATTACAAGTTTTCACTCTCCTACGCATGAAATATACAATGAGAGAAAGTAATATACAAGTGATTATGACAAGTTTCTGATCTTATTTTTCAATAGACATTAATGTTTTGTGATCTTCGTCCAAATAACCAAGTTTCACTAAATGGTCTGTGTGAGTGCGTGTGTAGATTCACACACCTTAGCTTAAAAACAAAAAGTCGCACGAAATTATGTATTTATGGTAGGTATGTATGTCTGGGGAGTTACAAAAGCTTTTTTGCAAAAATCAACTTACCGGAAGTGGCACTTTATAGAATTGAATATACACATTTTTCACAGTTTAAATTTTTCAAATCTAGCTCTAAGAATTTTGATTAAATTAATTTTATCAGTGTAAAATTTAATTATTTTATATCAAGCAATTATTTCCTGTTTTAAAATAGGCTTACATAGGCTTGTTCTTTTAAAGTAAGTAACCATTTCATACTGTAACTAGTAATAAAAAATGATTAAATAAAAACTATGAAAGAATTTGTTATTTAACTAGAGGAGAATTAAGGTTTGGTAAGGTAGGATCGATAATCAATGAAATGCCAAAGTGTACTTGAGCTTAGTCTGAGAAGTTGTTATGGCTATAATATGAATGAATGAATGAGTGAATGAAAAAATAAGTTTATACTGGGACTACAGTTCCCTAAGAATAATAACAGAGTTACATAATTATGAGCATTAGTCTGACTTAGAGTATAAAAAATAATGTCTAATTAACTGCTAATTGCAATTGCAATTGTGCAGTTGATTGAATTATAGTTTATAGAAGCAAGTAAATTTTACATACATGAGTAGTTTGAAGGAATTTGTAGACAAAGATTGATGTAGGGAGGTAGTTAAAGAGTTCCAAAAGGAAGTAGCACGAATGACGAAGGATTCGCTGAAGAAAGTAGTTTTATGAGAGGGAATATAAAAATCTATAGGTTGAGATCTGGTATTGAGAGAGTGGATAGAGGAATGTAGAGTAAGGAGTTCTAGGATGTGTTCTAGGATGTATAGACAGTTTTTGGTTCTGAGGACTTGGAAAAGGAAAACACCCAGAAGGAATTGCCGCCGACCAACTCCTCATAATTACTATTTGTATTATAATATAAAAAATGATTCCTTTTAATAAATTAATGAGTGGTAGACAAATGATGATGAATTCTAATTAAAAAATATATTTTTTTTTTAAAACTTGGAATCAGATGAAATTTTTATCCAGTATTGAATCAACTAATCCTAATAATAAAATTAATTATACGTTATAGGCAATGTTCCTGGTTTTAATGCTGTAGTAATCAGTTCAGTGCCAGTTGGTGGTGGTGTATCCAGCAGTGCTTCCTTAGAAGTCGCAACATATACTTTTCTGGAAGCTCTCACTGGGACTTTTTCAGAGTAAATTGTACTTTTTATTTTATATTTTATTCATTTCTTCTTTATTTATCTATACCAGGTACACTTTGATTACTGTATATCACACTAAACCTCCAGAATATCCATAATACTAAATTTTGTATGTCACTTTTGTATTATTTTTATTCATACTACAAATATATATATATATATATATATATATATATATATATATATATATATATATATATATATATATATATACGTATTGTGTCTATATGGAAATGTAGTACTACATTGCATATGGCTGTTTTGTTAAATTGATGATACATTTATATATAAGTCATCAGTGGCGGGCTTAGGATGGGGCAACCGGACCAATCGTCTCAGTGTGCAATTGTCAGCGCCAGTCGATCTTCAGCGGCGTTCACCGCTTGTAAAAAATAATAGAAATGTTATAAAACCGATTAAAATAATTAATTTTAGCCTATCAATGAAGCAACTGTTTAACAAAAATGTCGAATGAATTAAAATTCAAATATTACATAATATAAAACAGGGGGGAGAGATGACTTCATTCCCCGGGGGCCGGAATGACCGAATGTCTAAGGCTGGCACTGAAGTCAATACTTGAAAGGGTGACAGTCTCAAAATGGAATAGATAATACTTTAATATTAGATATTAACCAATTTCTATATGTTAAATAAACTGTAGCTATCTAATAATTTTTTCCTTTTTAACCTTTTAAAAGGCATTATCATGAAAAAAACATTTCAAAATAAAAATTCTAAGGAACATTTTGTAAAAAAAAAAAGTTTTGTGTTTAGAGAGAATCACTTTATTATCATAAAAGGGTGCTGCCCAATTACATTGGGTTGCTTTAAACACAGCATACTTATTAATCGCTACAGACAATTTTCCAAAACTAATATACAATTATATAGTATTAACAATATGTATGAGCATAGTATACAATTTTTTTTTATCTTTATATATTTTTTATTATAATTTTTTTCCAAATTTTTATTTTTTTTTTTTTTACTTTTTCTTTCATTCATTTATTAGCATTATACATCCCTCTCCCAGTTAAAAAAATTTTAACTTTTAATTAGTTATCTTCTTTAAAAAGTCATGTTTAATGAAAAATAACAGTGTATGGACTTACGTATGTAATCAGGGATAAGGCCTATCATTTTCTGAATTACTTTTTGGCACTTTTAAACAAAAGAACTATAAAATCTTTTAGTGGTGTAGAGATAGTTAACTGTGATTATAATATGAGAAGGAGTTGATCCGGAGGTGCGGTCAAATAAAGACGATATATTAAAATAAAACAACAACAATAAAATACTATTTTAATATATAGTCTTTATTCGACCGCACCCCCCGACCAACTCCTCATATAAAACTTTTTGTTGAAAATTTTCTTGGAAAATCGTTCTGATTCCTAAAGAACAGAAAAATAAAATATTTACTCATATATAAAGGAACTGATTAAAAGTAAAAGCTAACATTTCAAGTCCTACAAAAAACGTTTTTGTGATAAATAACTTAATTATGGTTCATGACTAAATATTTGTCTGATTATACATGACTGGGAATATATATCAAATATTTTATACTGATTATAAATTCCATAATTTTATTTTAAAAATGAAATAATAATTTAATTCAATTTACATGATGAAATAAATATTATCTATTTGATGAAAATACTATTTTCCTTTAAATAAGCATATAAGCTAAGGTAATGTTTTATTCTTTATCAATGTTTGTTTTTAGTTTTTCACGATAATATTGAAATTTTCATACTTCAGCAAAGTATAATACAATTGAAGGAGAAATAATTCATAAGAAGTAGAACTCCAATGAGACTTTGTAGATATGTGTAGTTTTGAAGCGTCAAAGTTAATTTATTATTTTATATCGATTGTTATAGTTTAACTATGGCTTTATTTCTGGTAGTCTCCTTATGCTTTTATTTATGCCTAAACTCTTAGCATAGAAAAGATTTATTAATTATTAATATATTTTTTTTTATATCACTGTTTTTAATGATTTAATGATTGATTGTTTCAGTCCTACAGAAAAAGCTTTTGCTTGTCAAAAAGCTGAACATGAATTCGCTAACATGCCTTGTGGTATTATGGACCAGTATGCTTCAGTTTTTTGCAAAGAAAAGAGTATCCTACTTTTGGATTGTGGGTAAGTTTTATTATTATTTTCATTTCTTCCAATCAATTGTTTATAAAAAAAAATTAAATAATTTTTTTATAAATCGTGCATATGTCTGAAAAAATGTACTTACTGAAGTCAGATGTAGAATTTCAGGATTGAATAAGTGAACTTAGGGTGTGAATGAAATGTCCTATTGGTGCTAGTTGCCACTGCATTATTAAGTCTCCATAGTTACCATTTATTTATTTCTATTCATTAAATTTCATGATTAATCTTTTCTAATTATTTACCATTAACTAATAAATAACAGTCAGAAATTATTATTGGAAGAGCGCATTGTTATAATAAGTTAATAAAATCTCAATGCAACATTCATGTATTAAAAAAAAAAAACTATAATAGAAAATTAAGGTAATGAAAAGAAATTTAATATTTATTTCTTATTAACAAAACTTATGTTACAGATTCATTTATATTTTATCGTATGTTTTTATTACAGTATAAATAAATTTAGGTTTTTTTTTCCTTCATTAAATGATTGTTTTAACTTTCTCTCCATTTTCGATGTATTCGATAGATATTTTTTTTCTGATTTGCGAATTTCAGGAAATCTATGATTTTTTTTAAACACAAAAACTTTATTATTTCTTCAAGTTGAAACAAGTTATATTTAACACCATTATTCGTTCTTTGAACATCTATATTTACTTCAGCAGAGTTGAGTTATCTTCTGAATTATCATACTCTAGCCAGAATATGATAGTTGGGATTTATTAGTTAGAACTATCCCTGAAAATAATATTAGTGCTCCTACGTCAGACTCACACCAGCTACACTTCTGACTTGAGATTTTTGCTTAATTTTTAAATGAATAGTGTGATCCATTACAAAAATTATTTGTGACTTATACAAATAATATTTGTGATAGGACGATTGTAGTACAGTCATCTTAACTTATAAAAGCTTGTTTTTTTAATAGTTAGCTACTTGTCAATTATCTTTTGTAATTCTAATGGACTGACCCAACATAAATCTGAACTTTGGTTGTATTTACATGAAACATGGCAGACACAGACTTATTACTGAGACATATTCTAAAATATATATTCCATTTACATGACTATTTAGACCATAGGTAGGAAACCTTTCTTATGTTGGAGGCCACAATAAGATTAAGCAGTGCTATTGGAGGCCGCAACCATTCTTCATATCTTACTATTGCTATTTTTATTTATCACTAAATATACACACCCATTAACATATCATTAGCACCATGTTAACATACTTTAAAGTAACGAATGTGAGCCTGTTGAATATTACACATTCGTCACTTACACATGGTGCCGACGATAATCAACTTATTTTATTAATTTTTAAATTTTCGTAACCTAAATAATGAAATATTAATTAATTCTAGTGATGGATTAATAAATAGGTTATTAATAAGGTTATTATGCAGTATTACTTAGTTATGTAAAAAGGTATGTTTCACTCCTATTGTGCTTCTTATTTAATAAACAGACTACATTACACTGTTTACCTTAATAACTTATCAGTTCCCCAAAGATGGTGTGATACCTGAAATTTAATTGGGGAACAACATGGGGCCCAAATATCAAGAAAACACAAATAAATAAACCTGAAACTTAATGTAATGAATTCAAAACTCCAAATTAATTATAAGACAAAAACATTCACTTACTTAATTAATTAACTAAACATGCACTCATCCTTATTAAGGGCAATTTGGATAAGCGTTAAGAATTTACAGTATTGTTTAAAGACTGAAATAAAATAATACCAACTTTACAGTTTGTAAAAACAACTCTCATGCTACAGAACTGAAGGAGGAGACTAAAAAGAATTGGAATGTGGAATTTGCTAATATAAGATGGCTAAATGAAGTCAGTGAATAGGTATGGGACACTGTTTGCGGTTTCTTCATTACTGTCATATCATTAAAAAATAAATAAATAAAAAGCTTAGCAAACCACGAATTTTGATGTTGGCAATGTGATCCGTTCATTATCCATCTTAACAACTTAATATACCCATTTCATTCGTCACAATCCTATCTCTCCAATTTTGTTTATTGCATACAGCTCATACAGGTAATGTGTTACTCTCTATTCTCTGGTTGGCTCATCCCTCTTCAGTCCAAATACTCTGCTATACAATTTGCAAATACCTCAAGGTATTTTCATAATTGTAAGTAGTTATATTTCACATTCTTAAAGAAGAGTAGGAATTATATTATTTTCGTAAATTTAATTATTTTACGTTTCTGAGGATGTTCCCATGTAATCAATTGAAATTCTTTAAAGCTTGTTCACCCGAGAGTTTTAGAACAACTGTCATGTTAACAAAAAAAGTCTTGAAGCCCAGAACAAGCTTGTGCATGATGGGTGTGCTTTGCCTTATTCATTAATTTTCTCCAAACATAATCATTCAGAAAACCGTTTTTTTCTCTATATTTCATATAGTTAGTTGTGCATGTTTCATGATGTTCTAAAATTCATCACATCATGGGTACTTTTACATGTAAAACTAAATATATAACATAAGTAAAATCAAACTAGGTATATAATTGTTAGTTCTGCAAAAAATGAAATTAAATTTGAGTGAAGACTTGTTTGGACTGAGAAGTCATCAACTATTGCAGAGACTTAAACACCATTGTTACTTTTAAATCCACCATTAAATACAACAGTACATCCTTTATATCTATCCAGAAACTCATCAAAATATTTCGTAACATCATACTTTTCTAAAACATTTCTTTATTGAGCATATTATTTGTAAGAATGATTTTATTGTATTACGAGATTTTGAGGTTTGACATGCCTAAATTTTCACAATAGTTTGTTATTATAATTTATTTTTATATACTTGGCCATTGATTACTCCTATGGAGATGGAGAATTCCGGCAAGTAATGTTCCTGATGTAATTTCATCGCATATCGGGTTAAGTTATACAAAATAATTGAATGAATCAAGCATTCATTTATATATTTAATATTTGAAGAGTTCATTATGGTTTAGGTCCCTTGATATAAAATCTGTGGATTATACTGATCCCAAATTAGTAATCCTGGTTACCAACTCTAATGTGAAGCATAAGCTTAGTGGCTCTGAATATCCAACCAGGAGAAAGCAATGCCAAGATGCAGCCGCTGAACTAAAAGTAGAAACGCTGAGAGATGCTGATATGAATATGCTTGATGGTATTGTTGCACATGTTAAGTATTCTGGTTTCATTTCAATATTTTGTTCTTAATCTAACCACATCATCTGTCTTGTTTGATAAAGGTCACAAAGCCACATTGGATCCGGTAGTATACAGGAGAGCTAGGCATGTCATCACCGAAATAAGTCGCACCCTCGAGGCAGTTGATGCTCTTATGAATAAGCAATACAAGACTTTTGGATATTTAATGCTCCAGAGTCACATATCTTTGAAGTAAGTACTACTATATGGCACGGTTGTGTAACTAAGGTATGTTCTAATTAATGAAGTGTAATATCTCTTATTTTTTTAACTAATAATATAACCTCAGAAGATCACTTCGTACTGTTGGGATCCTTCCAAAATTAATTAGAGGTTGTTAAATAATAAACAAAATTATAAGAATATTGGTATATTAAACTGAACTTTATAATTATTTTATCTCAGGTATGGATTACTGACTATCAGATCTTCCTGTGTGTCACTGAATTCATTTGTCTTCTAACATTTTCCTATGTTCTGCCAAACACATCTACCAAAATTGTAACACTTTCATCCACTCAACTCAAGCTCCCTGTGAGATCCTCTCTCTTGTGTTTCTAAACAACTAGTGACCCTCCCAAACAACAATTTTTTTTTTCTGTTCTTCCCTACCTCACCTTATAGGCTATTTTCCCAGGTCGGAGTGTGAGGGTGGGAAATTTAAAATCCCCTCTGGCACCGAGATGTGAGCTCGTACTTTTTTTAATCTGGTTGCCGGGCAACTCGCTGTGCTGTGCACACACGTTAGTCTATTCGGCCACCCCACCCCCTTCCAAAAAACAACTGCTTGCCAAAACAAAAATCTTTTGTCCCTCCCTTCTTTGAGATTTTCCTTTTTGGGAAAACTACAGAACAGCCATTTTCTTTTCCCTGAACTAGTAAAACTATTTTTCATATTTAAACATCCCCTGACATTAGCAGAACTGGAATAGCTGGTCTTTTAACTGTTCAAAATTAATTTATTAAACCATTTTTACCAACTTCCAATAAAGGTGTATATTAAAGAAGTTAAAGGTGAAATTCTACAACTTACTATAATAACAACGAGAATGGCACACAAACCTAGATCAAACATGAAGTGCATTAATCGTATTTCTTCACGAATTAGGTTAATGTGAAACTTAAGATAATACAAACCAATTTCTTATCTATATCAAAAACAATACATTCTGCCATATTTTTGAAGAAATACCCAGTTAATATGAATTATTTGGTTAACACTAGTCTTAAACAATTTTAGAAAATGGTCAAGAGAGATATTTTAATCCATATGCAAATAAAATTCAATCAGAAATTTGATGGCTCAATCTAATTCATTCTTCACAAAAAAAGTGCAAAACGCATCTGCCTTTAAAGAAGTTTTCACTTCAAAAAGGTGGCTTAAAAAACACTTTAAGTTCATAAACACTTTTTGTGGCCATCATACTTCATTTTATTTTTGATTGATGTAAGCTATTTTGTTGAAGATATGATTTTGAAGTTTCCTGCCCTGAGCTTGATGTGCTAGTCGACATTGCAATGAAAACAGATGGCGTTTATGGCTCTCGAATGACTGGTGGTGGTTTTGGAGGTTGCACTGTAACATTGGTGAGGCACTTTTTACTGATAAAATATTTACTAACCTGGAAGGATTAACACAAAATAATGAACATTAATAAAGTAAAAAAACAGCAAACATCTTACTGTGGTGTGAAGTTAAAATGGAAATTAAACAGTTTTTCAACAACCTTAATAGCTCCTGGAATTTTCTCTTAACTTATGAAGAACTAACAAAGCGAGGATCCCAGATATATCTCCTAGACTTTGATGAAACTTTTTAGGAAAATGTGGACCTCAAAATATTGGTACCTGAGGCCAATGTTCTTCCAGAGTGCCAGGGAAAATTCGGTTTGGGTGTGCAAAACACATTTTATTTTATATCTCTGGTTGTAATAAAGCAAGAAAAATAATTTTAGCCAGAAAATGTTCCTCTAATACCGTCCCTTTTACCATGCAAAACATTAAAAAACTATATACTATCTATTATATTATAAAGCTAGAATAATGTAGCAAGCTAGGTAAAAAATATTAAAATATCAATATTAACGACTTTTTAGAGAGAAAACATTAGTTTTCTCAATAATTGAGCTAATAGATTTGGGATCTTCACTGCAAGAAACAGTTTATTCCAAACTTTTATGAAAATTGTAATGTCTACAGTTCTGTGTTTCAAAACTAAATAAATTGTAAGCAAATTGTTTTTCCCCTTATTATTATTCTTTGCCATATAGGAGAAACAATATTTCAAAATTCATGCCTAATTTATTTTGTTTTCAACAAATTAAAAAAGTGATTTAAAGATTTATTTATGTTATTTCTTGTTAAAACAGACTCCTTTATATATAAAAGTGTATGACAATAAGGATTATAAGCACTGGCTTGAAGAGTGATTAGGACTTTATGACAATTGACATTTTTATCTGTAACTTTTAAATAAACCGACTAATTCCAAAGATTAAGCGTCCAATAAAGTTGTAAATCTTAAACAAATATGACAAATTTATTTTTATATTAACATTTATTGTTGAAAAACACAAAGAAGCAATAATATACCAATATTTTGAGTCTTAGATTTACCTAAAAAAAGTTTCATCAAACTGTTGAAAACATAACTGTCTGCCCATCTTGTTAAGATCAATAAATAAATAAAATAACTTTGTGAATATTATGAAAAACTGAATTATCATTTGTATGCTTAAACTAAATAAATGTATCTAAAGATATTTTTATTTTAGGTAATGATAAATCTGTTTAATAAATTAAACTTCATCATACGTTAACATAACTACATTTGTCCTGTAGACTAATTTTTGTAAATCTTATCTAATACACAATTTAAATTAATATTGCTATTATTTTCTTTTATATCACTATATGCTAACAGTATTTAAATGCATGAGGAATATTGTACAATAATGGGGGCTCAGTACATGTAATATTACCTGGAGCTCTTTTCTTGTGTGAATATATATTGATAATTCTTAAGATATTTGTGAGAGGATTTTGTGATTAATTTTATAAAATTAATATGGTAAATTTCATTTATTTTGTTCAAGTTTGTATCCCTCAAGTTAATGTTTTATTAAAAACTTGAAATGATTGTTAAATATAGAATAAGTGAGGGCTTGTTTGGTAACTTTGTTAATGATGAAGTTTCACGATATTGATACCTCTTTCTCTTGATGTGGTTCCTCCTGTCCAAATTAATATAGATGATGGGCTGTTGATTCACCATGTTGGGTTATGTGCAACAGATGTGCTGTTGATGCCACTGTCCCCAGGAAGAGACGCTTGCTCTGATAACCTGTTTTGAAGAGAGGGGTGCTTATTAGGTACCTAGACGTGGACTTAGCTCGAAGATGATGTGATCGCCGTCAATAAGAGGGGTGTGAACTAAATGAGACCAGTGGGCTCCAAAGTGAATCGTACAAAAATAAAAGGAAAAAATCTGGTGCGCCCAACCTGCTAATAGATACCTAAATATTTAAATATAATATCAGATCTAGAGTCTATGAAATATTTTTATATTTCACTTCTTATCTCACTCAAGTACATTGAAATAGTAGTGGATACTGTTGGAATACCACCAAGGGAAGATTTGTCAAATTATTCACTAATTTAATTTTCAAAAAGGTGACATGACAATAATTCGGAATAAATGGACGTTGATACCTAATTATTTAAATATAATATCAGATCTAGAATTATTAAACTACAGTAAATGTATTTAAGGTTATAAAGATATGCTTTATACATCCATGAAATGATATTATATTTTGCTTCTTTTTTTTTAGTTTTTTAAACAATGTCATTGCCTTGATTAGGTGGATTTTAAATAATTTTTCAAACTTAAAATATTTTAAATGTTTACATTTAGTTAGTAAATTTCATTTAATTTCCTAGAAAACATGTGATTTACATTAAATATTATTAGTTTTCAGAAATTTTTATTTATAATGTTTTGCCACTCTCTGTTACCTTCTACAACTTTCTATATTAGATATTGTTTTTTCTAAAATTCTCCGCTTTCCAACAATATACTATATGTATATCTTCTGACTAGTATTTCCGGGGATTCATTTTCAACCTGGATAAGCATTTTTATTTTTTTCTCCTTTATTCAATTATCAAATTTTTTCAAAAGTTATATGTAGCATTTTTTCGTAACTCTTAAAAATGAGAGATAATTAATTATTTAAAATAAACCATATTAAAGGTAATTTAGAGGAAGACGTATATGAACATTGGCCCTGAAAAGTGACATCAACGGTGATAAAACCTAAATGGCATTAAAGATCACTTAATTATACAATGATACACCGAGTTTAATCAAAATCGTTAGAGCCGTTTTTGAAAAAAATGATTTTCAGCGTCGATATAAAGTGGCACTTCCGGTTACCTGATTTTAAGCAAAAATTTGCTGTCACATCTAAGGCATATACCTTAAATATGTAATATCAGTTTCGTACGATTTTTCTTTTTTGAAATAGACTACTAACATACAGACACACGGACACACAGACCTTTTTTCGGGACTTGGTTATTTGGACTCAGGGTATCCCAAAACGTGTATTTTCATTAAAAACTCAGATTCCAAAATTTTTCACTATCGCAATACTTACCCTTACTATATATTACATATTGTAACATCCCTCTTATATTTGACAAATAATAATAATATAACGTCGGAAGCTCACTTCTTACCATTGGGATACTTCCTAAATAAATAAGAGGTTGTTTAATAATAAACAAAATTATAAGAGAATTAATATATTTATTTATCTTGGGTGTGCGTTACTGACAATCAGATCAACTCAGACAAACTATTATTATTTACACTATTTATTTAAACAAAGGTTTTGGTTTTGGCAAGTTGTTGTCTGACTGCAGTGAAGAGAGGTTAAAAGAAGATATCCTATTCTGGCTCCAAAACTATCTTCTAAGATGGTAAAACTATTACTGGATTTTACCCACTGGAGCCAGGATAGGATATCTTCTCTTAACCTCTTTTCACTGCAGTCACACAACAACAACTTGCCAAAACCAAAACCTTTGTCCTAAACTAAACCTAATTATAATTCTTTGGGGTTTTCCTTCTTGGGAAATTACAGAGTAGCCATTTTCTTTTCTCTGCACTAGTAGAACTAGATTAGCTTGCCTTTTAATTGTTCAACATTAGTTTATTAAATCATTTTTACCCACTTTCAATAGAGGTATATATTACAATATATACGTAAGTGAAAGTAAAAAACATATGATTGCATCTTGCTCCCGGTGCCAGCACTTATGGACTATTATAATTTTATCACTAATATTAGGCCTTAATAAAAATATGTGAGGAGTGTTATATCAAACGCTAATATCCCAACTTTTGGAAAATTATTACTAAAAATTTTCTTATGTAGATAATTGAATTTCCAAATCCAAAATTGAATAATCCCAAATCCAATAAAGATTTGTGGCATCTTTTCAACATAAAAAAAAAAAATTTAAATAGACTGAATAATCTTTTGATCCAGAATTTTGAATTGCCAAAAAATTTTTTTTTTTTGGCACATATATTACATTTAATTGTACATATATTAACTTTTAATTGAAAGCTCTTTTTATATTTATTGCCATTAGGATTCCTTTAGATAAGCAATTAGTATAATGCCTGAAATATTATTAAAGATACTTTTATTTGTGTATTTTTAGTTGGATTCGTCTGCTGTTGATTGTTTAATTGCTAATATTCAGCAGAAATACAAAGGGAATCCTTTGTTCTACATTGTTACTCCTTCTGAAGGGGCTACTGACGCAACCTTGGTTATGAAGGAGATTATTGCAAAAATTACAGAGAAAAAAAAATGATGCCATATAAAAACTTCATACAGTACATACCCTGCACTCAAATTTGAAATATTTAAATTTTTTATGGTAATAATATATTTTTAAAACAATTTTTCAAGTTATTTATCCCTAGCCTTGTCCTTAGCCAGAGATATATAACACCTATACCCCACTGCTCTGTACCCTGGTCACCTTCTAGAGTATAGCTAATTATTTTTAAAATAATGTTTTCCCTTTTGCAAATTTTGAGAATATAACTACACTATAAAAACAGTAAATAACTATTATTCATATAACAATATTACTAGGATAATAATTTTGTTACTTATATCCCATTTCTATAATAGGCATATAATCTTTTTTAAAACAATTATTTCCATATAAATTCAGTATGCATTAAAATTTTATCATTTCAATGTTGTATTAATGTTTTACATTATTTTACTGCTTTAAATACACTGATGAATTGTATCCTTCTCTTCTTAATGTTTATTTAATTTTTTTTTTAATTTTTAATTTATTTAATTTTTTTTTTTTTTTTGATGACCACTAATAAAAACATTTTTGCCATCCGGAACCCTTATTTAGGGTGTAGTTAACAGAATATAGGTCTGTTAGATTTCTTAAAGAAGATCTGTTTGACAGTTGCCAAATGTTGATCCTTTTCTTTAAGAGCATTTTCAGAAACAGCGTGGAATGAAGCTGTTGCCTCTTACCATACAAATGGATAGATAGATAAATTTATTTGTTTTCTCAATGCCAAGAACTGGCCATGGCCAGCCCTTAGCTTGACATACTAAATTAGAAAAATAGTTTAATATTGCACATTTACCACTGCAAAAACTAGTATAGCTCGCCCACAATTAGTCAGCACGATGTCGAACTCATGGGGCACCAGGTTAAAGCTTATATTTGTTTTTCTTCTTACCCTTCATTTTAGTTAAAAATATATTGTTAATTCAGCATAATCATATCATCTTACAATATATGCAATTCAATATATATTTCTAAATGATTCTTCTTCTTCTGCGTTCTCCCCTGGGATCCCAAGTCAGAGACTAAAATAAAGAATTCATTAATCCTTTTAAGGTCCTCCACACTTCTACAAAGCTTCCTTTGTACCTCAATTGGAAAGAGCCAGATCTGTCTGCTTAGCTGAGAATAGACCCTGAACGTTTGCATTATTTAATATGGTCAACATTATTCCCTTCTACACACTCACAGAGGGGACTGGAGCCAATGTGAAACTTTCTGAACAGATGACGTTTGTTGGGCACCGTTTGCATGCCAAAGACCTGCTGCAAATAAAATTGATGGATAGCATCTCGAGGATTGTGACTTTTGATCCATCACTGGTTAATATTTGCTTAGGCAACCTGATGATAGTCTGAAGATTATGTGTTCCGATCCCGGTGCCCATGAGATTTTTGAATCGGCATAAATCCCTTACATGGGAAAAACCCCGTTCAGCCTAAAAGGGCTAAGAAAGGGAGCCAAAAAAGAAGGTCAGTATTAGCTTTCTTTAGTTTTTTCACTTCTTTTAGGATAAGTTTACAGTCACACGGTGGACTCGAGGCCTCTTCCTTTGCCAGTTCGTCTGCCCTTTCATTTCCAGAGAGGCCAAGATCCATTGCAGGAAAAATTTTTTGTGTAAAGACATCAAATTTTCAAGCTCATCGGCGAGTTTTCTTAGGGCTTCGCTCCACTTCAACCTGAGTGTTTGGAACAGTGAGGAACACAATTTTTGAGTGTCTTTAGTATCCTTAACAGTAAAGTTTGGTCAATGAAATTGGATTTAAAATGTTTTCAAACTCATGCAACTTTTTTTTCCTGCCTCACCACATGCCAATTCCAACCTTCTGACATAGGTTGGACATCTCTGCCCTAAGAGTTATTGGCAGTTAACAATAATTTATATTTGGTTCTTAATATATTATTCATGAATTTAAACTAAATTCTTGTGTTAAAATATAATCATATAATATAATCCTACCAATATCATTATTCTGATGCCTATTAAACTTTTTATGGCACCTACTGCTAAAGCTTATTAATTATTTCAAGTGGACCTTTGCACACATCAGAAAGGCATACAATACCTGCAAAAGTTCCAGAATGGTTGGATATAGACTGAACTTCAATGCGAAATGCAAATTTCTATTATATGTTAGGATACAGCTCTTTATTTTGGAACCTAGGACATCTTGTTAGACTGAAATCTCAACTGCCAACATTTTCCTCGTCCTAAAAAACACAGAGTAGCATATTCCGATTCATGAGTCACCTCTCTTTGCCCACAAAACATAACTTGTTTATAAGGGTATGTATCATGGTGCTGAGCCACTTCTATATTTTTGAAATTCTTTTTATTTTGTGTGTATTAATAAATTAATATCTACATTAATAAAAAAAAATAAATAAATGTTGGCTACCACCAGACCAATATCCTTTAAGTCCCTCCAGATAGAAAAAGATAGGGAATCTTATTATATTAAATTAATGCTTGAGTACATTATAAGACTATTATTGTGTACCTCTAACCCATACTTTTCACTTTATCATATTCCTATCCTCAGTTCAAGCTATGGTTCGACCGTGATTTATTGGCAGCCTGTCAGCTCACTGATGCGGCATTAAGCTAGAGCTAATGTTTTGTTTTCCATAACCCTCCAAAGTAACTTTGTATAATAAATTAACTATTTGTAATGACAAAATGATTGCTTTGTTTTGGAAAAGGACAAGGATAAGGATGTTTTGGAATATGATTCTTTGTTTTTAAAGAATTATGAATGTAAATGATTTTAAGAGAAGCATTAAAAAAAAAGTAATAGTAATTTTAATTGATTTTTCAACTAGTTTAAACTTTAAAAACTTGATCATCATTGAAGTAGATGTTCTTTTTGTTTTCAACATGCCATTTCATTCAGAGTACTTATGATTTCAGAGATGAGATTTGAAAAAACTGCTCTCATGAAAATTTTAGTCTTAAGATTTGCCTCTTACAATAGCCAACCAAGCCTGTAAAAAGGTTTGAATATGAGTTATGAAACTGTGTGCTATTCTAATTAAAACGAACCTTGTCAGCCATCCCAAAGCCGCTGATTTAAAAAATATCAGAGCAGTCAGTGGGGGACTGAAACAGGAAATCAAGTTGTAAACATTGTGAAGGAAGCTTTTATTTTTAAAATTTGGATATATGTGTGCAAACATATATAAAACGAAAATGATGACTTGGGATACATCTGGAGAACCTTTGGCAACTAAAAAAAACTCAAAGTTGTTTAACTTTTTTTTTTATCAACTACAACTCCTGAACAGTCAGTGCATACTAGTGAAAAGTTTCTCTTTGATAAATTATAGAAATACTGTATTAATATAATAATTTGATTAATAGTGGAAAATTGTGTTTAAAAAAGCAGCAGTATTAACCAACTTTGTAAAAGTTAGTCTGCAGCTTGGAAATGAGTTGTCTAGGAAACAAAATCGTATAACAAAAGTTGCAAAGTATAAAATTCTGCATCTATTGAGTAACAAAATGTGTTGATTTGGCCCTGTCTTTTAGGCTATATGTCCAGGAAATTCTTTAAACTACATAAAATGGATAAAATACCTGTTTGAGGCCACTTTTAATGTTTTTTTTTAAATTAAAAAAATTACATAATCAGTATTATCTCTAAATAAGGATTGAATCTTTGATGCAATGAATGCAGTCTATAAAAAAAAATTGGAATGTACAAAGGAATTTTTAATGGCATTAGGAAATTTTAAAGGATATTAAGAAAACAAATTTATAATAGGACAAATTTATTATTAAATGCTGGTAATGGTAACAAGTTGGAGCTAGTTGGAAGTAACTAAAAAGGAACACTAAACACCTCCATCTTGATTAACAGGCTTACATATAACAAATAATACTTGACACTTTTTAAGGCCTTAAATATTTTTTATGATATTTAAACCTCTATTAGTTAGGCCATGAAAGTTAAAAGTTTGTTTGCAATGTACATACTTAAATTGTTTTCTTATATCAGCTGAAGGCGTGTTCTGTATTAATTAACTTAATCCAAACACAATAGTCAAGTATAATGTTGGCTGACATCAATTCGTAATCGAATCAAAAAATCACAAATTGTAACATAAAAAAATTTAAATTAAAGTTAAATCGGTATATACCACACATGTATCATTAAGAGCTCATCTAATTACAAAATTAACATATTCATGTACAGTCATTAAGATTAATTTTAAATGTCTTTTATTATTTGATCTTAAATGACAAATCTGGTTTTAAAAAAAGGTAATCTATTTTCTAAGTACAAAAAATTTAAGAAATTCAATAATTTAAGTAACAATATAGGACTTTTTATTTTATTTTTTCCATAAGCACAAAGCCCAGCTTGTAATCTGTTGTTCTGAATCAAAGAAAATTTATAAAAATAAATAGTGTATAAAGTTAAACTATACAATTTAAAATTTAAATCTTAACTCTTCACGAGTTGTCTAAGATAAAAGTAAAAATAATGAAACACGTAAAGATCAGGACAAAACCTGATATTTAAATTAAATAAACTCTCACAGCACAACACAATATTTAGTAAACATTTTAATGAGTGTATTCTCTTTTTTTTATTATTTTTTTTTTTCAGTATGAATACACTGATATTCCATTTCATAAAAACTAGAAATTTACACATACTCTTTGGACTTATTTTTCTAACTACCTATAACCGTTAATATGTTCGTTACATTTTAAACTAAATGTTTTGAATAAATTTTCTAAAAAACAAACTGAACAATTTTACTGTTGAACTGAAATAATTATAAGTATAAAAATATTTTATTTAATACTAAAAAATAAGTAGCACTTTGAAAACAAAGAGCTTTTAAGTAACTAGTAACAAAATATATATACATAAATATAAATAAAACATAATGAAAAATAAATATTTCAAAACAATACAAAAATTACAACTTAAAAAGAGCAGTAAAAACTGCTTTAGCACATTTTGCATCTACAATTTTTATGTTTTGAAGAAAAACAATAAATGGTGAAAGGAAATACAGATGAACACAACAGGCGTCAGAAATGCAAGATATATGAAATATTTATCTGTTTATAAGACATCTGTATATTTATGACTAAAACAGTTTATAATTAGCTGGATAATTTAAGAACGTAAAAAGTGGTTAAACTTAAAATTGTAAAATAAGTTAGTTGCCTTTTTTTAATAGAGCGTGCCTATTTATTTTATTTGAATAATGAATTATTATTTAATAATTTACATTTTTTTTATCAATAATTTTAATTTTTTTAAACATTCATTAATAAACAATAAATAATGAAAACCTAACAAATTGATACATTTTTTAATTTAATGTATTCTTACATTTGAAATACTGTAAAGAAAAAAAAATTTAACTATTATAATTGAATCTGCTATATGAATACAAATTTTTTTGCCCATGTCTAGTTTTATTATTAGAAAATAACAAATTCTTAAAACAAATGAAAAAAATAAAATAATACGGAAAACTGGAAGGCTAATTGACAACTAAGCACAAAACTTTTAGTTTAAAATTTTAAAAAACAGTCTTATCCTCGAAAAGATTTTCGAACAAGGTTTCTGATGCAAAGTGCATTTTCGCGCGCACAGCCATCAAATATCTATAAAAAATAACATTTCCATATACATTAATATATATAGAAGGAACTATACCTATATATGTAACAATGTTTTTTTTTTCGATTTTTTTTTCTTATATGTGACATTTTAAAAATTTTATTTAACATTTTTTATTAACTAACAGCCACTACATGCCTTCCCGTGCTTCGCCCATGTCATGTGACAGTCTTTGGTTCTCACATCATACTTTTCAACGTTGTTTCAAAAAATTAAGAAAGAAAAAAGTAGTAGAGATTAAATTGTTTTTATAATAAATAATTGTAAAAAGTTATCATTCCTATATAATAGAAATAGCTTTATTTAAAAACAAAAAAAATCAAAAACAATTCAATCTCAACTTTCAAAACAACATTAGTCACCATGGCTCTGATTAACAATATTACAATTTTTTCAGCTTGTCTAAAGTATTATTTAATCAAGGAATGTAGTTTTTAAAAGAGGTTTGATAGAAAAATCATATCAAAGACTTATGAAATTACAAATAACATATTTGTAGCTCAGAAGAAAGAAATTTATTGAAGCAACCCGTGGGAATAAATTATTTCATTAAAAAAATAGCTTTAAGTATCCGGGAAAGAGAACCATGGGACTAGCCTACGACCAAAGTCGCTTTCGCTCTATGCACAGGCGCCAGCTCTCCAAGTGGAAGATGCGATGGGAAGGCCACGAAGAAGGTAACAAATTACTAGCTTCATTTTTGTGGTGCTAGATGTTCTCCAAGTCAGGCTGCACTTCCATCTCACCAAGCAACCCTTTTTTCTCTTCCTTCTTGCTTTTGCCAGAAGAGAGTCTCAACTCAGGTTCATAACAAGGCTGCAACAGAAAATACTTCTTTAATCTTTGTTTGCATGGTTATGAATAAAAGAAAACTTTTTGAGACTTCGATATAAAGATCCATTATTATATTATCAAGGGTCTCATTAGCAAAAGTATAGACAAATTGTGTACTGAATTATTTTAACTATTTGGATTTATTGCATTCGAGGGTCATCATTATGTTTTCAGAAGCTTAATTTTTTTAAATACCATTGACATTTATATTACACAATTGGATTGCTGATTTATTTTAACTTTTCTGATTTCTTGAGTTTTGAGAACTATTATGATAACATTGGAAGGGTAATTGTTGAAACAAAATTTTAAGATTGTGCACATTTGTATTGATTTATTTTAACTTTTGGGATTTCTTCAATATTGAGAACTGTTATTACGTTATTGGAGTCCATTATTATTTGATCCCTCCGATAAAATAATAATGGGTTATAACATTGATAAAATTAAAATAAATCTTAGAAGTCATGACCGATAAGAGTTAGGATGATTTGATTCTTACATAAGGTACTCATCTTTTCCAATAAGTGATTTTTAGAATTTAGCTATTTGATCATATGGAAGTAATTCTTGTCTATACTTCAAATTTTACAATTCTGCAATGCCAATTTATTCTCTGCTCTCCAGAATCATAAAAAAGAAGCATTATCGCCAACACTAAGTAAGTATACTAAGCAATTAATTTTTGGAATATTTTCTTTTTTTTTCTCCTTTTTAACATTATATAATTTTGACGTTCAGTTTTTCAAAGAGCCCTGATTTCATTATTATGTAAATTGTTTTACGAAAAGATTTTTTTTTTTAGAAATTTCTCTTATTTTATTTATTTGTTTACCTAAATTTCAAAAAATAAGTGGGATTTTGAATAGTTTTCTTTGATAATACAATTTATAAATTAACAATCTTTGCTTAGAGATATTATTTTATAGTTAGGAATAAACTTGAAAGTTACTAGCACTTACAGTTTCACAAATATTCATATTGCAACAGTTCTCTATCGCTATAGCGCAATCAGGACTTGTCTTGGCTGGTTGTGGCTTGTTGCTCCTGGGATGGGTCACCTTGTATGTCCTCCTCAGCCTTGGCCTCCGGCCTAATGTGAACGTGCGTACGGCTAAAGCTAAAATCACAACTACGAGAATGCCAACCACACCAGCAAGGGAAAACACTCCGACCTTCCACTGATAAGTGTCATCAGATTCTGTAAGTGCGGCAGCTTTGATCTCATCACAGCTGAAAAAAAATTATTATTTTTAATTAGGAGATTTTATATAAAAATACAAATGAATGGTCAAATATAAGTGCAAAATCCAAATTCAAACCAAATGGTATTGTTTTGATTTAATTAAAAATCAAATATTTGTTATAAAAAAGAAAAACCTGGCTAGGCAGTCAGGTATATAAATATTTTCCGTTAAGATGAAAATGTTACCTGCAATTGAACTTAGACCAGAGCCCCTTGTGACAAACATATGTACAGAACTCCTCAGACAAGTCGCACCTCTCCCCTGACCAACCAGGATCGCAAGTGCACTGCTTCCCTCTTCCCTCCTCCAAGCTGCACTTCCCATTGTAGCAATAGCCAATGCACTCGTCCACTTCGCACCTCTTGCCACTTCTTCCAACAGGGCACTTGCAGATTGGCTTACCGTTGTACATCGCACATTCGCCCTGAACGCAATAGTTATAGCAGATTGAAGTTTCACACAAGGTTCCTAAAACAATAAGAACAATAGAAATTAGAATGGTAAAACCAAATTAGAAGCAGTTTATCAGATTATTAAAGTTTCTATTAGGAGGTCAAAGTATTTTATTTGTAGTCAAGGTAGGAATGAATAATTTACACAAATTTTTGAATTTTTTTTTAAACTTTAAACAATTTAAAAACTCAATAGTATAACCTATCTACTCGGAAAGTATGTTATACAAATGAAAACTTAATTACCAATATAACCAGGTGTGCAGATGCAGCTATCTTCACTGGAAGAGTAAGTTCCTTGGACACAAGGCAGTTGTGAAGGATGAATAACTTCAAATGGAATCTATAAATATAAAAATTTGGGTTATGGTTATTGTATTCAAAGTATATTAAACTAAATCTATTATTTTAACTCATTAAATCAAACTTATTAGTAAATACAACTCGTATAAAAAAGTTATTTGAACTTAGAGTGGGATCAAGAAATGGAAGTGGATAGGACACACCTAAAGAAAACCCAATAGTGCTATAGAAAAAGAAGGCTCTACAGGAAAATTTCCCCTTCTGGACAAAAACAAGCCAAACTGTTGAGGGGGATAGGCTCAATGTCATCAGAAAACAATTTCCTTCACCTGGTGACCAAGAACAACTATCTAAGTTTGTCTATGGGTGAACAATGGCAGTGGACCCAACCCATTTAAAGGAAATTATAAAAATTATTCCTTTCATTAAAAAGAGGATGAGGATATAACCACAGATGAAAACTAAAAATTAAATAAAATGTTGGTTCAACATGTCTATGAATGGGGCAAAGCTTAGCAATAGATATTGGTGTATTGAGGTCAGTTACCCATGTTTCTTCCAAAATTTTTGGACACCCAGGCCCAAATATACAAGTAAATAAATTAAGGAAAGAACACTCACCTCAGATTTCTTCTTTATTAGATGAGCACAGACATGTTGGTCAAGGTAAGCAAACGCATCGGCAGAGGCTAAGCCCACAAGTTCCCCCTCTGTTGTGTAATTGTGGATCACGTCTGCAGTTTGGTGGTCTAAATCATACTTTAACAGCTGCCTCTTGAGATTGTCAGTCCAGTAAATAGAGTTACTGTCCTGAGCAGAGGATGATGTTTTGACAACAAGAGATGTTGGTTGAAGATCCATAGATTTCATCACTGTTTCAACTAAGCTTCCATCTAGTCCTGCTCGCCCAATCCTACGAAAACGTAAGTTTCACTATTTGCGTACAACTTAAAATTAATAAAATCTACGAATATGTAGATAATTACTTCATAACTAGTCCTGGACCTTCATCAACCCAATATATTTTTCTTTCAGATTGGACGATGGTGATTGCGATCGGAATGTTAAGCCCATTAATGACTGTTTCCATTAATGTACCATCCATACGAGACCTATCAATTCTACTGGATCTGTAGGACCAATATATGTATCTAAAAAAAAAAAATGTCCATGGTAAATAACTTTCAAGGCCTTTCAATAAAATATTATTTAATGAAATAAATACATTTTTAAACAATTTCTTTCAGAATAAAATTTTCATTTCGTATTAGTTTTTATTGCTAGATTGGCTTGATGAGGCTTTCATGGATATTTATTATTGGTAAAAAAATTGAAATAATATTTTTATTATCTATATTTTAAGTTTTTTCAAGAAACATAACTGCACTTGTGTAAGAAGGAGATTTTTATGATGAGTCTATGAGATGTAATATGCACGAAACTAATTTGAATATAATAAATAACATGTAGAAACACCCTAAGCCATTATGTCATTTGTAAGAATACATTTTCTATTACCTTTTAACGAAATTCTTTTTTCTAAGTAATAAATATATTATTCAGTTGAATAAATAATAGAAATTCCAAAAACAAAGTAAGTAATTAGTGATACTTACTTTGAGCAAGGTTCAACTGCAATGGCCAAAGGATAATCATCTCCTTGGAAGGCATGTAGAATTTTCTCTTCGGCAAGATCAGAGGTAGTCTTTTGCTTTCTCACCAATTTTCCATCAGTGAGGTTGACTTGGGTACTTAACTGGCTGTGGTAAATGTTTTGTCCCAATGTCCAAAATATTGTGTCTGACTCAAAGTCATAAGCCAGCCCATAAATTCTTCCTGGTTGTTCTATTTAAACAGACATTAATTGTAACTAAAAAATTATAATAAAAAGGTATTATAACAAAACATTAATAATACAATAAATTTTAATAGAATAAAATTGTAATAAATAAAAGGACGAAAAAATTAATCTGTGCCATGTAATTCAAAAAGCACATGGGTATAATATAATTATTTTATGTAATTAAAGATAACCGTTATATATTTAGATTAATAAATTAGAAAAAAAAATAATGTGTTACTAATCAATAAAAAGTTAAAGTTACGATTTTCTTTTTTGTTTTACAGAAAATTGGTAAGTTATTATGTAATCATTGAAAGAAAACTCTTAACAATACAAGAATGAACTAGGTAAATTAGGTTGTAAATATTTAATTAAGTTGTATTTAATTTATATATATATGATTACTTACTTCTGACTAGAGGTTCAATGTTTCCAAATGTCCCTTCCCTGGACACCTGAACCCGAAAAATAGATGCATTTGAGTGGCTATCGGCTGCGAAGTAGTGGAAGGAGTAGATGGGGTCGTAGGTGAGAGCCCATGCTTCTTCCAGGCCTATGTTGATCTCGTTGCCTTTAGAGCCTCCGGTGATTATGTGCAAGAATTTAGTGGTTAATACAGCAAAATCTGTAAGGAATAATACAATTAGATATTTTTTAGAAACATTATGTTCAAATAATGAGTATTTTCAGAACATTTTAACATCCAAACAATAATGAAATAAATGCAACAGATAACCAATTAAGGACTAAAAATAAATAAAACACTACATAAAAATGTTATATATTGCACTTTGATTTATTTAAGTCAAGAGGTAAGATAATAAAAACTTGTAATTTACTCTCTAACATGCCAAATTTTAAAAAACATATAGCTGGAACAAACACATTATTAACTAGACAAATTTGACTCCACTTCCAAAACTATTGCAATGAGCTTTACAGTAGGAGTGGTTCCAGAATGAAATTCATCAAGTGACAGAAAGTGGAATAAAATAATGGAAACAAATTTCAGAACGATCTTTTCATACTATATGTATTTGAACAAATACAGGAAAAGAAAACTAAAAATTCTCATTGACGGTAGTAGTAAAAAAATGTATTCATGATCAAAATGAAAATTTTGTAAGTAAACATATATATATATATTTTTTTTTTAATTTAATAGCATTAGGGCTAAAGTACCATTGATTTGTTTTTACTAAACTATAGGCAATTTGAACAGCCATCATATATATCTTTTTATAAATTATAGTTTAAAATACTTATTTGAGTTCAACAAGTAATAACTTCAGAAAACAGTTATATCGGACTCAATTTTCAGTGACATCTTTTTTGAACATTCGCGTGAATAGTTTTTTGATTTGAGTTATAGATGCATAATGAAAATTTTTAAAAAAGAAATAGACTTTCGAATCATTCATAAATTTAACAAGCAATAAACAAAAAAAGAAGAAATAAAATAAGATAATAATAGTGATATAAAAGTTAGTTTTTAGTAATCTTTATTTTCATATTTTTTTTTTTTTTAATATAAAACAACAAAAACAAATTAAATCATTCTATTGAACAGAAATTAAAATTCTCGATAAAAAATTAAATGATAAATTTTTATGCGATAATTGATTATAGATTCCATTAAAAAAAAAGAAAAAAGAAAATGTGAAACATGAAAACAAACATCGGCGAGGAAAACTCATAAGGGGGGGCGGATTAGATAAATAACTAAATAAAAAATCTCACATTTTTTTTTAAGCCAGCTTTCATTCTACTACGCTAGTTCAATTAAGAAGTTGATACAAAGTTTATTAAATGAAGGAAAGATATCAAGCTCTGGCTGAAGATCGCCCCATCAAAGCATTTCGGTATTGCGGGATCTAGTATCGTCGGGGACAAACTGCATGTCTGCCCCAGGGACTTGATATAATTTGTTTTGTACATTTTGGCTTGTGTTTAATGGTATCATAAAAAAATAATGATAAAAAAATTCCCAAAAATTCAAAACAAATCCGCTTATAAACACCTTACTCTCTCCTCCCTCTCCAAGGTCTATGCGCCAGCTGAAAAAAATTAAATGAATGTATATATAAGCTTATCCAATTAAAAAAAATACGAGTAAATATTTTCACAGTACTACTGAAAAATAATAGGTAAGCGAAAGCAACAACAATGTGATACTATGATTAAATAAGATAAATAATTTAACAGGAGAGAATTCCAACTTAAATTAATTTATAATAATTTCGGCCTAAAACTAAAACCAATCTTAAAAGAGTTCAAAACGTAAACGATATTAGCATTGCCAGTATTGAATAAGTCTTTCATCGTTCTTAATATTAATATCATATATATTTTTAATTATAAATGTTTACTATAGAAATAAAACAATAATATTTATTTACAAGTATTGTAAAATAATATTTACGACCTAACTCATCAATCCTTATTGATAGGAGAACAAGTGTTGATTGCTAATGATAAATTAAAAAAACAAAAATACAACCACTTAATTTACAATCAAAGTCAACAACTGCTACATTCCCGGAAACATCTAGTTGTTTTTCATTGATATCATATCGATTGCATCGATAAGTAATTTATAAAAGCGTTTTAATGACCAAGTCATATCATGTTATATTGATATTTCCGAATTTTTGAAGTTGCATAGGAGAACGTTCAGAATTGTAAAAGTTTCTCTTCAGATGGAAAGTATTAATAAAATCTAAGGATTAAAACTTCAACGAACGTCATAGCTTCACTGTTTCAAGAGCAATACAACGCAGAAGTTGTAAGAAATTGGTAAGACGGTCTCGGAAGCGCGGTGCGATACCCCTATCACGTGGTATGCGTTGCAGTCTCCGCCTAGGACAATTAATTCATAGATAAATTAATTAACGAAGGGTGTAATTGAGTGTTTGATGAAAAAATAAATTGGAAGGTGCTATGTGAAACTCCATTGCCTGATTTAGTTATCGTTGGGTTTTTATATTACCTAATAAGTTGCAAATCTATCGATGTATTCATGTCAAAAATTTTAATTAGATAAAAAACAGAAAAAAAAAGGAATTACTATATTATAATAATTTATGTTACGAATATATTGTATTTTGTGTGAAACAATCATCAGATAGATATGGCTACAAATTAAAGCAATTGTGGATCCGGCCTGTCACGATTTTTTTTTTCTTGGCTATTGTGTGGAAATAGCTGACGATAAGAATTAACAATTTTAAAATGCTTGAGAATGATTAGCGTAGCACTGGTCTAGATTGTTCTGTAATCTTTCATTCGTTATCTACAATTCAACGTTTGGAAAATAAAAAATACTAAAGGAAAAATAAATATGATATCAATAAAACGAACTTATGAATGCACATTCCAAAGTACGCTTTTCTTATGGCGTTCTGCTTCAATATGATACAACATATTTAAAATATAAATAGATATGAAATTATAAATAAAATAATAAAAAATCTTAACGATTTTGATGATTAGAATCGAAAAAAAAATAGAAAGCATGTATTTATAATCTTGTTTATTAATTTATTCTCTTTTTAATTTTATTTTTTATACTTGGTTGCATACTGGGAAATAGAACTTGTCCGTTGAAGATTAACATAGCAATGCTTCAATACCAATACACTTATTTATCAAAGCTTTCAATTAATGGAGATACAATAAAAAATACGTTTATACTGGTGTGAAGATTTTAACTTGATTTTAGAAAAAAAAAGCTAGGTTTTAATGAGCTTAGCAAAGTTTTGATAATAAATAAATGAATCCCATCTACGTAACAAGTTTGATCATCGCAAATGGAAGATCACTACTTTACATTTAAGAGCATAGTTTGCATTCTGAACATCAATGAAAAGCTTGATGGAGCTTAATTTTATATTTAAGTCTCCTTCTACATTGAATGCTTTATCTTTGAGAGAATTGTCATTGCAGATTATTAGCATTAATTTAAAAACGTTTTTATTGATTTTATAATTGAGACATTCATTAATGTTCCTTTTTTACGTTTCTTTATTGAATAATATTACATTTTACCATAATTAAGGACATTACTAATAGTGACAGAGTAGCTCATTCAAACTCTATGTATAATAAATACAAAACAATTAAACAGAAATATAATAAAATACTAAAAATAAATTTATGTAAACAAAAGGAAACTAAACTAATCAAAATTCAATAATACTATAAAAAAGTTATCACTCACTGAAAAAAAAATCTACAGTTTTTTTCGGGCTTGAACTCGTACCATTCGGAACGTTCTTAAATTTAATAAGTTTGACCAGCCGTATCAAATTATATTTTAAAAAAATTATAAGTTTGAGAGTGTCGAACTTTAGGCCAAAGTTAAGATATTTTAATGCCTTCCGCATCTCACATATAAAATCAAGGATTAAAAAAAAAATACCAGGTCAAGTTAATTTAAATTTAAAAAATCATAATTTACTAAGTCCCATCATAAGTTACTCGGATTAAAATATTTAACTAAAAAAATAAAAATGTAGGTCAATGAAGAAAAAATATTCACCTAACGAAAAACATTCCCTCCTAGAAGTTTTTATAGGTTGCATTACAATCAGCCAATTGACCTTAGAAATTGCCAAAATTATCACTGCCGTCAAAAATATAGATAGCACTGCAATTTTTTTTATTTTATATAATTAAGTTTTTTTTCAATCGAGATCATCTTCATCAGTTCCAAACATCAAGTACTCCACGCTATCTTCGGGATTCCCAAACCTCGATCGTCTGAGTAAGTCGATGTTGTTTTGCGCAGATAAGCAGGAGAGGAGTAAACACTCCTTGTGGATGAGATTGTTTGGAACGAATAACCAATATATTGCGGATTGAGGAAATTCCGATGCTTCAAGAAAAATGCAAATAAACAGCCATTATAATTATTTAAAAAAAAAACGAGCAAAAAATATTGACAAATTGCGACTAATACAATAGTTGCTTTAAAACGAAATTGGAAGCCTTATAAAGTTTTAGCCTATATATAGCTTTCTAATTAAGGCATCCTTGTGGCTACTTCATAAACATATCATGGAGGAGACGACGCAAACAGATTAAGTTAAAACCATAACCAATTGCTGAGTAATAAGCAAAAGCTAAATCAACTATATAAATATATATGTGTGTGTATGGCAACTCAAACCGAAAGGAGGTGAGATTGTCTGTTTCAGGCAAAGAAATATAGATTCTGATGTGTCTAGTAACCCTGATGAGCCATAATCAGTGGATCTAGACAGATTAGTCATTTTACTTGAAGCATACGTTTAAGCTATTAAAAAATTAAAATAATTTGATACCATTTCACAGGATTAATACTAACAATAGGAAATATATGTTGTTTACAAACCGCCAAAATATCTTGTTTATAAATAATAATCTCAAGTGTTGTGTCTGCCTTAACTAAGATATTGATTTTAATTAATCGATGGTACACTTGACAATTTATGTCAATTTTCAAAACTAATTTTAGTCTAATCACTGGCACCTGCAGCAATATTACAATATTATAAATGATTGATTCAAAAATTCTTTGTATGTTAATTTTTGAAATGTGTTTGGTTCAGTATTTTTAGAAATTTGTAGAACAGTAGCTATGTG